AAAGATTGCTATAATATGAATATGCAGAGAAAAATTTAAAAGCAGAGCACAGGATGAAAGTTCATGGAAACAGCGTATTACAAAGCAAATGAGAAAACTAGCCTCTAATAATTGGCAAATCCTAGTCACACTTGCAGCCAACAATCCAGACCCGACAAAGGGAGAAGAAAGTCTAAAGGAAAAGATGCCTTACTAGCAATGAGATGAATAATATGTTAATTAATTTAAAATTTGTTTACAAGTAGAAAGGCATTTCTAAAGGTCTGGAAAACAGTTAAGTCCCTAGAGCAGGTCATAAACTTTGCTGTCCACAGACTGTATCCTGTGAGCAGACATGTTGTGTCTGCCAACCTCATACTTTAAAAATTGGTATTCGCTGCCAGCATTTAATCAGGAGGATTCACAGAGAAACCTTCCACTTGTTAAAAGATCTGAAGGTCTGGAAAGGCTGACACCAGCCGCCTCATTGTAACAAGGCTAGCTCTTCTCCACAGGACCTTCTCACGGGAGTTACAAGGCAAACTGAAAAGAACCAGGGCCTCAGGCTAATACACGGTCACTGTAAGTTTTGTTCAGTTACAGGTGTATTGAGAAGTTCCTTAGAGAGTGCTAATGCACAACTGCGGTGGGGACTTAAGTCTTTGGCATTTTACACTTGGTTAAAGCTCCTGAGCTAACTGCAAGAACCAAATTACTACCTTTTTCACAGTTACTCCCGTCCTCTAGAGTAACAACAGTTGAAGTCCTATTAAAATACAGCCATCCAACCTTGATCAAGCCAGGAAGCTCAAGAAGAATGCAAGATCAACTTCATCAATAATAACGCTAATCCAGCTTTTTCTCTAAGCACAATCAGTAAGTAATCAACTGCACTCAAATCCCGACACAAGTGTGTGCTTCAGGCCCAGGTTGCAAAACTCCACATGGAAAACTCTGAGGATAAACTCCTTATGCATAGGAAGCCCTGACAACCTGTGCAGGTTTCTAAGAGTGTATTTAGGACTCTTTTCCTTTCTTGCTCCCACAACCACCCACCCACCATCTGAAGGCACTAGCATGTACTAGAGCCATGGAATTAAGTCATTGAATGAATGTGTGACCTCCTACATTTTCCCTCTGCGCACCTGCTTGCTCTCTTTGGCTTGGTTTTTCTTTAGAATCATTCTGTGGCTCTGCTCCTAGCTTCTCCACTGTAGATGGCTAACAAGGCAAGACAAACTTGGTCCCTTGATGCTGTTGAACATGCATGTTACAATGAAGAAAGGAGGTGGACCTAAACCACTCAACACACCCTCTCTACTCTAAACCTTCTGGGGCCCTTACAGCCCATCTGTGGTGACATCTAGTTCTTGGGGCTGAAGAAAGAACTTAAAAGTAGAAGACACAAAATGACTTGCATCCATATCAGGAAGCAACTGGATGAACATGCTAACTCAAGTCACAGAACACTACAGGATGAATGGGACTTGCTGGCAAGCAGGACTAAGAAGCAATGGTTCTAAGCAGCTCTCAAGTCTTCTTTACTCTTACAGACGTCAAGAACCACTGAACTCTGGGCCCACCAGGAGCTTCGCTAGGGCCCCTGGTCCTCACACATTCTCTCTCACACCTGCATGCCATAAGCCATTCCACAGACGCAGTTAAAACAACCACGTACTCTGTTTTTATGATTCAAATTAATCAGCCATTTGAACAAAAAAGCAAACATTTTTAAAACATAGCTATACACTGACAAAGTCCTTAATATCATGAAAAATACAGATTATCTTCACATGCAAAAAGCCAGTTATATGCCATGCTATAATTTTAAATTAATCCCATGCCTTTCAGCGATGTTCTTAGTCTCTCCCAATCCTTTTATGCCTTACAGCACACTCTCCCCAGCTGCCACTGCAAGGCGGGTTGATGCTGCTAACCAACACATACCACGGAGGGCTCTAAAACAGCGTGACAATTTTATGCTTGACTCAGGTAATCATAGCTCTCTTGAGGGGAATCTGCACTCAGACTTACCTTCCCCCTGCTCCTGCCATCCACAATCCCCTCTGGGGGAACTTCAGACTCTAATACACTCGATTACACTCTACAGATTTATAATGCCAAACAGCCATTCACATAAGGGCTCTCTGTAAACATTACCAGATTTATGCCAACTCGGGTGATTGATTTGAACCTCTTAGTGTCACCTTATTTCAAGGCAAACCTTTCATACCCATTTCTCCTTAATTCCTTAACCGGGGCTCCCTAGTCACACCCTGTACCTTTCCCCGTGTGAAAATAAGACCAGGGTTAGAAGAACCAGTAATAAGACAAAATGAATTCTAGAAGGGACAGCAGGTGAGACGAGACAGATGGGTGAAGTCAATCACACGAAGCAAGGACAATGAGTATGAAAATAAATATAATCATACTGTTTCAGTATAATAGAATAGTTCACGTTACCAACATCTAAACATATACTCCTTAGACATTAATGAGCCCATGAAGATATTTACCTACAAATATCTTCCAAAATGCAGGCTCTGATTTAAGTAGTCTGCAGTGCAGCCCAAGTTCCCAGGCACTGCTCGTGCATGCTACAGTGGCTCTGCTCCTTGGTGAGGGTGGGAGAAAGCAGCAGCAGCATCACCTGGGTGCTTGTCAGATCTCTGGCATCCACCTTAGAATTATGCAGAGATCCGGGTCAACTAGTGTGCATCACCAGATAGCAGCCTACTGCCTTGTGTGCTCACTGAGAACCAGATCCACCTGGGAGCATTTAATAGAGGAGTGGGGCTCCTCGAAGAGACTCTAGTCCAGTGAAGTATTTGGATGGTGTCACATTTGTTTCTTTTAAAGCATACCCAGGTGGTTCTGATGAGCAGGCAATATGGAGAACCAAAGATTTAAAATACCCTCCTGGGTAGGAGGGACATATAAACTGACTGCTAATGGGATGAGGAATTTCTTTGGGGGAGGAAGAAATGTTCTAAATTTAACTACGGTGAAAATTGCATAACTGTGAATGGAAAGCACTGAACTGTACAGCTCAAATGTGTCCTTCACGTGATCTGTGAATTATACCTCAATAAAACTGTCACGCAGAATGATAAAAAGCCCTTAGTAGCTTCTCTATAGAAACATGAATAAATAATGGAACAACAATGAAATGGAATTATAGTCTATCCTGAAAATTTAGGCCAAAATTTTGAATTTCTTTTAAAGATGAGGTAGGTCAAGTGCCTCTCGAGAAATACTACTGTCTGCTTGCTGATTCTTCAGACCAATTTTGCTCGAGGTGAGAGAGGAAAAGCAGACTGTGAGCAACACCTTGCATTACAAACCTTATGTTACTATTATGCTGAAAGGAAGAAGCAAAAGGAGAAAGAAGAAAAGAGGAAAGGGAGGAGAGAAAGATTAGGGGGAAGAAATAGTTATCCATTTGGAAAACTTGCCCCATACACTATAAGTTCTTACAGTATTTTCACTGAGGCTGTGTGTGGTAGTTCATGCCTTTAATCTCAGCACTTGGGAGGCAGAGGAAGATGGATTTCTGTGAGTTAGAGACCAGCCAGGACAACTAAATAAATAAATAAATAAATAAACAAACAAACAAACATACATCACATTTTTCTAATTTTTCTATATATTATGTAAAATACAATCTGACCTTGTTTTTAAAAATAGCCTAAGAAGCCCTAGATAATACACTCACAAAAATGAGACCGACCACAGGCAACATTAACATTACAGGACCAGACACTGCTCACTGACCAAGCAGAAAGCACCACAAGCATAGAGAATCAGCAGGCAACATTGTTCCAGAATTGCCCACAGGACTTGTGGCCAAGGTCGACTCTAAACTACAGGTGCTGTGAGCTCAAATCACCACAGCCCAGGTAAGCATCCCCACCCTAACCCCGAAGCCAACCCCGATTTATGGTCCTATACCCTCATTCTTTGAAATAAAAACACGTCTACTATATCAAGTTCCTAAGTCAACATGAACTAGTGAAACACATCCTCTGGGTGCTTTGCTGAGAACCTTTCTGTTCAGAAATGGCTTTGTGGTGCTGTGTGACATCATCATTGCAAACTGAGTAGCACATCCTCCTCAACAGAAAAGCCCTTACAAAGCCAGTGCATTCTGTGATTACTGCTGTGTATTTTCCTTTCAAAGTAACTCTACCTTATCACATTCTACAGACAACAAGGAGAAAGCACTAGACCTTGACCCTGCAAACAAGTGTCTCCCATTATTTTCCATGAAGAAGCTGGCCTTCCTGCCCCATACAAACCCCTGTGCTTTAAAAATATTTGCTCAATGAGCTCTTTGGGTTTCAAAGTTCTGAGAGAAAGCAGTAACATGTTGTTGTTGTGGAGGTAGGTCTCCTGTATTCAGAAGTGTTGACCCTTTTGCTTCTACCTACCAAGTGCCGAGATTGTCACCTGGTGGCAGTTATTATAAAGCAGAAAAAAAAAAGCCACTTAAATTTTGAGTAACAAATTTCAGGTCCAAAGGAGCAACTTGGAAAGCACACTGGAGATGTTCAGCGTGTTGTCAACTCCACCATTCCTCTGTGTCTTTCAGTCACTTCCTGAGGAATAAAGGCCCCACAACTTTGTGTATATCCTTCTGGTTTAAGAACCAAATCTTTAAGGAAGTATATCTTTTTCATAATTTAGATAATGGTGTAAAAATTCCTTTAAATAGAAAAGGAAAGGGAAGGACAGCACAACAGCTTAAAGGTCAAGTCTGATGCCAAGCCTGCTGACCTGGCTTTGATGTGTGGACCCACAGAGTGGAAGGAGACAATGACTCCCAGAAGTTAGCCTCCAGCTTCTACGCATGCACAACACACTCACTCACACTCACATACACTCAATCATGCATATTCCTACAGGTGTACACTCAAATGTATGCACACTCACGCTCGTGCACTCACACGAACGCATGCACACACTAAATGTAATCTTTAATTGAAATCAAATAACACAAACCAACAGGAGCAAAGACTTACCTGATAGAATATATACCCCGAATGTCCTTTTCCCCACTTTGTCCTTCCCTCAATGCTTGCATCTGTAATAATTTCATAAGGGCTTTCATCAAACCAGACATATTCCTGTAAAAAAAAATATAATAATAAGCTAAATGTCCCAGACTTAAAATGAGTATGAGAAGCAGTTGCTTACTCCTGTGTTTCCTTCTCATGATGTCAGATACAGAAATGAGAGCCTCACCCATCCTAGCCAGTGCTCTAATGAGCTACACCTCCCTCCACTCACACTCAACAGTAGCCACCTACAGATGCTCAGCTCTCTTTTTAGCACATCCGAGACCCAGGCATGAAAAAGGAATCAAACCAGCTATCAATCACCTCCCTACACACATGTGGGGAAAATCAATCAGAGAAAAAAAGTCAAACATTATCCCACATAATGCGAGACACTGACCACATCAGTTACCCAGAATAAATGATCACGTCATTTGTAAATATTAGCAGACCATGAAAAATAGTCAGACATATGAAATGGATCAACCACTCAAAAGAGCAGGCCAGGGGACCAATTAAAGCAGAACAAAAGCCATTAAATCAAAAAAGAATTAATAAAAAGAGGAATTACACTTTAAAGTTTTTCCTTATTCTGTAAGAAATAAAATAAATATATCAAAAAGAAAAAATAAGTACTCTTTTAAAATAAGTCTCCCTTACAAACTAGAAAGAAATCTTAGAAATAAAAATGGTCTACCGACTTTTAAGCAACCTAAAAATCATGTTTGCTAACATTTATTGAACATCTACTATAGGTTAAGCATTCTCCTAAGTGCATAATATATCATTGGTCATACCATACGGAACAGAGGGATAGTCCATCAACACTAACTTTAGGGTCAGGAAAGCCTCCCATAATTTGGGGCATTTATATGAGCTGTGAGTAATTGTACATTTTTAAGGTATTTAAATTTTTCCATCTGACAAAGGATTGGGCTATACATTAGACAACAGTCAATGGCAGTGGCCATTACTTGGCTACTGGGCACTCGGGTAATGCGGTTAGTCTAAACCCAGATGTGCTACATGTATTCAGGTTTGATTCCCAGCACACACATAACATCTGTGACTCCAATTCCAGGGACCCAATGCTTTCCTGGTATCCGTGAGAACCAGAAATGCATGTGGTGCATAGATAGTGTGCATGCAAAAACATCTATACACACAAAACTACTTTTAAAAGTACTCAGAAGGAGCTGGGCGTAGGTGGTGCACAACTTTAATCCCAGAACTCGGGAGGCAGAGGCAGGAGGAGCTCTGTGAGGTCAAGGGCAGCTGATCTACAAAGAGAGTGCCAGGGCAGCCACGGCTACACAGAGAAACTCCATCTCAGAAAAAATAAATCAGAAGAAACATAAAATATGACTGCATGTTAAAATTGTATTTTGATATTTGGGGTAACATAAAGTTCATTATTAATATTAGTATCCATTTCTTTTACTTTTTTTAAATCTAGTTATCAAACAGAAATGTAAATTTATTTTATTTTCATTTGTGTGTGTGCATGCCCACAGGGGCTAAAGTTGTTAGATCCCCCTGGAGCTGGAGTTACAGGTAGTTATGAGTTACCTGAGGTGGGTGGCTGGGACTCAAAGCTGGGTCCTACAGAAGCACAGCCAGTGCTCTAACCACTAAGTCATCTCTGTACTCCCACCTATGAGAAAATTTGAGCACCATTTGTAAGTCAGATGCATGGATCATATTATATTCCCACTTCTCAGCACTGTTCCTGACAGTCCCAAGGTTTAGTTTCTAAGTAGATTCTTCTGGGACTGTCAACATTTCCCTTCCAGCTGAAGAATTTTCCATAATATTTTCAATAGTAGTTTTCTCCTTTCATATGAATCCTCTTACATGCCCATGCAAGGACAGAGTCACTGATGAACCTTTTGTGACATAGATCATATGTGTACAGAGTCTCTAATGTATGAACCCATTATAAAGGGTCCTCACACTAAATGAAAGACTACATAAAGTGCTCCTGGCACTCAGTGGGCCTGAGTCACCATTCCTAGAAGCCACAAAGTGGGTGGACACAGCAGAGTGTGTCAGTAACTCAGGGCAGAGAATGGTGTAGAGCATGGATAGGCTCAGTGAAAGACTCTTATCTCAAAAGGATACAGTGGCGAGCAATAGGGTGAGAAGGGCCCAGCACTGGCCCTGTCTCCTGCATGCACACCAACAGCCAAATCCACTCACATTCAGACTCGCTTGCTCTCACACAAACTCTCTCTCTCTTTCTCACATACACATACAGAAAGAGAGAGAGAGATTATTTCTTCTATGTACTATGTATGTTCTTGGATGACTGTCAAAGATTAGCTTTGCTCACATACTCCTTAATGACTGTGACAGTTTCATGGTACTTTACCTCATGCAACAAAATGACCAGTTAATCTCACTGTGACTCAATAAAATTAAGCAGAGAAATTTTTATAGTATATAAAAAATGTTATAGTGTACACAGTACATTATATTTTATAAGAGAAATACTTCATGCTAACACAGACAGTTTGATACACAACTGGGGGTGGGGATGGGCAGAGAAAACAGGGCCAGTGTCACAGACTCACACCAAGAGCCTTTCATTGCAATGCTACACGGACTGGATCTGTGCTTTAGCTGAGAACCTTCCTTGACAGTGACAGAACAGGTGATAATGATAGGTCTAGGGACCCCACAGGCCAGTCACAGGATTTGCTCAGAGTACACAAATATGAAAGTGTCCGCTTGTCTTTACACAGCAGTGGGAGGTACAGGGTGATCTCCAAAGGCACACAGATGTTTCCTCACTGGCTGCTTTGCAAAGCTGTTTGCAGTTCCATGGCTGCTGACCAAGGCCCGATCCTTTTCTTGGTGAGGTTGGCATCTGCAAGGGTATACACCACAATCCTAGAGCAGCCCACCCCAGAGAGGCCAAGACAAAAGCTGAAACACATGCTGTCTCAGGAGGGTTTATGGGTACCTCCTGAAGGCCACTTCTGTCCATTAGGATCACTGGTATTCTTCGAACAATCTTCTTGATTGCTGCTCTAAATATCCAAACCTCCCTTACTTAGATGGGAGCTTTCTCAATATTCACAACCTTGAAATGATCTGATCCTTAAAATGCTTTATCCACTTATTTTATTCAGAATTAGGAGGCGAGCCTGTGAAGAACCTGAACCACAAAGAGTTGTTCCTCCCATGCAACACTGTCCTTTACAAAGACCCAGAGAGTTTCAGCATGGAAACTGAAGCTAGTCTATGATCAGCTGAAGAACCTACAATAGTTGGGACTTGTCCAGCCTCAGTTGCTGAGTGAGTCAAAGTCAGTCTCCTCAGAGCCTCCCTAGAATCTGACTCTTCCAAATACACAAACTCACTAAAGATAATAAACCAGGTCTCAGGATTGCACTCTGCCTCATTCTACATGGCGGAACTTAGGAATATCAGCTCTATGATGAGCACATGCCTAGCATGTCTGAGATCCTGGCTTCTGGCCAAGCATAAAATAGATAAGTCATAATGATTGTATACCACTGGAAGTACACTAAAAATCAGTTTATATAGTATTTTAAAATGCTGACTGATTTTATAATATGCAAGTTATATATTTTTAATATAAACAAACACAAGAAAGAATTTAGTAAATAAGAAATGTGGGATCAACATGAATAACAGAAGAACTTAAGTATAATTATTCAGAAGTGATTATAAATACTGAAATAATAATTAATAGAAAAAAAATAAACAGAAATCAATATATAGTTAAAATTAGTTTCAAGAAAACTAGTGAGAAGGATTCTAAAGAATAAAAACTTGCAGTGACAGACTATTTATAACCTAGATGATAGACAGGATAAATATCAAAAAAAAAGGAAAACATAATATAGACATGCAAATCCCACTGGATAAGATTCCTAACACCCAGAAGAGTGTATGGGGACACATACACACTCACATTGAGCAAACACTGCCTCAGTCTTTGTGGAAAGCCATTTTATACTATCTGTAAAACTTTTAAATGAAGAAATCCTCCTACAGTCAGCCCTTGCACATACTCAAAAGAAAGACATTGTATTGTGTTGGCTATCTGAAACAGAAAGAAAGAAAGAAAGAAAGAAAGAAAGAAAGAAAGAAAGAAAGAAAGAAAGAAAGAAAGAAAGAAAGAAAGGAAGAGGGAGGGAGGGACAGAGGGAGGGAGGGAGGGAGGGAGGGAGAAAGAAAGAGAGAGAGGGAAGGAGGGAGGGAGGGAGGGAGAGAAGGAAGGAAGGAAGGAAGGAAGGAAAGAAAGAAAGAAAGAAAGAAAAGGAAGAGAAGGAAGAAAAGGAAGAAAAAAGGGACAGAGGGAGGGAGGGAAGGAGGGAAACTAAATGTTTTCCAGTAGGGAAATGGTTAAACCATGACACATCTAACATTACAGGATATCCTGAATTTGTTAATACTGGTGTAAGCAAATTTGTAAACAGCAATTTGGAAAGATGTTCATCACATTATAAGATAGGAAAAGCAAGCGTTAGAATTATTTTAAACACTTGGAAGGGTTGTGCACAGAAACTTTTCTTTTTCACATTAAAAATAGGATTCCAATTTCCCTGGCATTAGTTTGTTCAAATTCCATTCATCTAGGTCTGATTTCAGACCCCAGCTCTCTCTACATCCCAGAGAAAATTAAGAACAGGCCTTGGAAGAATCTCTCAAGCAACCTAACATTGCTAAGGCTTTCTAATCCTACAGTTTCCTACTGTTCATCGGGACCCCCTAAAAATGTACTTTTTAAAAAACAGAAAATGATGAAAATCATGTCTGTAGGAGCAGCATGCGACGCCACTGCATCTGTCCACCCTGACCCAGAAATGCAGTGTGCCTGTTTTCTTCAGCCTTTCTTTTAGATGTTGGCCAGAGCCTAAACCCTCTCTCTATGGGACTCTATTACTTCACTCTTTCTCTGAAGCTCCCCTCCTGCCTTATGGCAGCTTGTCCACCACATGGCTGACCTCCATGTTGGCTTAACTCAACATGGCTTTCTCTCTCCTCTATCTTCCTCCTCCGGGCAGCTGAGGAGACTTACAGCTTCCTGGCCTGGA